GTCAAAAAATAGCATTCACCGCCCACTGTGCCAGTGAGTCTTCATGGTCACCCAGCCAAGCTGAACCTTTAAAAGACTATGGCTTCAGCTAGCAACAGGCTGCAGTGCATCAAACACCTTGAGGCAGGCAGGCAGAAAATGTCTCCACATATACTCTCCCAAACCCCAGAATCTGTGACTAAGTCAAACAGCAAATGACACCAAGATTACCAGTCATCTGGAGTGGGGAGATTATCATCAACAGTATAAGTTCAATGTCACATATGAATCCCTACCAGTGGATGACAGAGGCAGAAGAGGACTCTGCATCAATGGAATGAAAGAAAGACTACCCCAGCCATTGATGGTTTGATGACAGAGGAAGGGCCCCCAGAGCCAAGGACTATGTGCAAGCTTTAGTAGCTAGAAAAGATAAATTCCACCCTAGAGCACCAGAAAGCCATACAGCTCTGCTGACACCTTGATTTTAGGTCATGGATCCAATTCTGCTTTCTGACCTCCAAAAGTGTAAGATAATTACATTGTATTATTTGAGTCTCTGACATTGTGGTAATTTGCTAAAATAGTGATAAGGAATTAATACAGACTCCTATGGATTTGACTCCAGTCAAATCATAGGATGATGAAAGATGAAAACAAATTAGTTTTGAGCACAAGTTTTTATATACAACAATAGATACCTGAAATAGTAAGGGGTTATCTACTAGGTTGTTTAAATAAAAGTACTGAGTCATTGGACAAGAAGGGATTACTCTGAGCATCAAAAAGAATAACTTTTTCAATAGATTGTAAGACCAAACATTAAAATCCATGAGCACAAGATACAATAGAATGGATCACCTTTGGAAGATATCAGAAAGCCAATTCCTTGTTTTGAGAATTGTTAAAAAGCAAACAAGCATATACTTTGGCTTCTTCTCTTATGCCGTCAGATAACAGATGAGGAAAACTATGTAAGTTTCCCAACAATAAAGGAAGAAGGACTGATTGTATTAGCATATATTTATCATGTGGCCTACAATCAATTAATAACTCTAAGTACCAAGAGTTATTAGTAATAAAAATTTCCCCAAACAGCCAAACACTCAACCTGGCATTGGTGTGTGTGTGTGTGTGTGTGTGTGTGTGTGTGTGTGTGTGTGTGTGTGTCAGGGGAATATGCAGAAGGAAGTGGACTTAGGGAGAAAATAAGAATTGAATCTTATCTGGTAAAACTTCTAGATTCAACTAAAAACCCACAGCAAATACAATGAGGAGGCAAAATCTGGTACAGGAAATTCTATGTATAAATGATTTTGTTCCTTCAATAAATAAACTGCAAGTGGTGAAAAAGAACAGAAGGTAAAGACTTTAAATAAAGACACCCCAAAACTGATTAACAGTATACCTATAGGGTTTAAGGGTAGCCCCTTGAATGACGGCAATAAAGAGCAATAGACCTAAAGGTAACCCTGGACTGTTTCCCCATGTAGAGCTAGACAGAGGTGGAAGAGCCAGCAAAGGAGACTGAGGCACAGCCAAAGAAGCAGGAGTTAAAATAGGTAGAGTAAGAGAAGTCAGGAGAGGAATGTGTTCCTAAGTGCAGCTGCCATCTCCTGAATCTTCAGTCAGTAAGACAGACATGAAAAGCAATCCTTTGCCATCATGGAGTTTCTTGGTGACCTTGTGAAGAACAGCACCAGGAAAGGACATAGCTGCTCAGAGTGAGCGCCAGTAACAGGAGCTAGCAGAGACATCAAGTGTCTACAGGCAGTGCTTCAAAGATGCTTCTTGAGAAGCAAGAAATACCTGGGTAGCTAGGGATGGCTCGGGATTAAGAGAGCCTCATTTTAAAGTTAAATTCACTCACAAGTTGAAATTTATTTCAATATATTTGTATATTCACGGAAGTCTTGGCTGTATCGAAAGAGAATAACGTGTGACTGAGAGGGAATGAAACCCCAAACACGCATGGTTGGGGTGCTCTCAGCTAGAGGGAGGGCTGCTCCCTCTGCTAGAGGAAGTAAGAGTGGAACCTAGACTTGTGTGGATCTCTTGGTTCATGGGGAAGGAAGTCTATTTCTACCAGACAAATAATATAGCCTCCTTCCCAGTGGAGCGCCCACTATCCTCAAGGATTGGGAGTTAAAACAAATGACACCATGTGTTAACCATGGGATTGATGGCAGGTGGTTTCAATTTTTTTTAAGATTTATTTTATTTCAAATTGTGTGTGTGCATGTGAGTGCAGTGCCTGAAAAGGCCAGAAGAGAGTATCATTAAATCCGCTGGAGCTGGAGTTACAGGAGTTGTGACCTTCCCAACATGGATACTGAGAACTGAATCCCAGTCCTCTGCAAGATCGGTACACGTTCTTAACTGCTAAACCATCCCAACAGTACAGTTTCAATTATTTTTGGACCATTACCAAGAAATACATATTTTTTGTTATGACCCACCACACACGAATACAATGCTTTGTATTCTTAGTTATGTATTAATTTCTTTCTTTTTCAAGCCAGCCAGGCAAACTAGATGGGCAAGAACCACTAATCAAGGCACTGGATTAGGGAAGAAGAAAATCAAGGGGATCCTATAATGCGTCAAGGTAAATAGGACTTCTGAGAAGGGGTGGGTCTTCCTACCTCTGAAATGTGTGCAAATTGAGGGTATTGTATCAGAAATTAATTGAAGATATTATTTCTAGTGCACTTGTATACTAATAAATTACCCTTTTATTTTTCACATATTTTATTATTATGTGTATGTGTGTATTGTCTGCATATAGGAAAGTGCACCCATGTCCTGCAATGCCTGTGGAGGTCAAAAGAGGCTGTCAGATCCCCTGGAACTGGAGTTACAGACAGTTGTAGCTGCCATGTGGGTGCTGGGATTCAAACCCAGGTCTTCTGCAAGAACAACCAGTGTTCT